ATGCACTTAGATCAAAAATAAACTGATCCAAGCAATTCTATCACCAACACCATCTTCTAGACAAGGTTCTTGCCATGAAACTTTCTAGATAAGGATCAGATGCTTCTAGTAGAAACTAGAACACACCTACTGCACTCCCATACTTCTAGATTAGAAATAAACAGATCTAAGAAAAATGTCTTCATCTTCACTTCCATCAGCACTACATTCTAGCCTTAGTTTCTTGTCAAGAACCTTACTAGAATAAAGACAGATCTAACTATATCTCCTTTGATCTAGTGATTCACTCCTTGAATCAACTGAATTCTGCACAATCTCTGCTGATGGAATGTCTCCACATCTGGTTGAACATCAGATCCTTAAAGTAGACCAAACAAATCAGGGGCCTGACACTTACGCAACAACTGATGAGACAACTTTATCATCAACTAAGGATAATCCATTAAATATTTGAGAATATCTCAAATAGCAATGAATCTCAAATCCTTATGATAAATCCTTCTCTGAACTTCATGGGTAACCAATTAAATACGCGTGTAGTCCACAAATAGCAACTGATCTTAAATCCACACAACTTGTTGAGAAGATCATCTGATAGATATTTACACTTCAGTAATACCAGAAGTATTCTTTAGTATAAGTATCTCTAATGTTGAAACATCAAGGCTGACACCCTTGACTCAACCTGCCTATGACTTCCTCTGCTGATAGAACCCTTGCAAGTCATGAGTGGTGAAAATAAATCACCTCCCACTATTTTCTCTAAAAAAATCTTCAACAACCTGTAATACACAACAGAATAGTCCAAGCACACAAGCAACAACTCAGGCACACAAACAACACAGCTACAACATTCAGCAACCTGTAGAATAAAAACAGCAACAACCCAAACAAAAACAGCATCCAACAGGATCAACATCTTGTCAGACCAACCAGAGCAGCAACCAACACCATCTTCTAACCATCTACACGCCTGCCACAGCCATGCATCAAACTGTATATAGTCCAATATTCTCCCAAGGCTACCAGAGTTCTTTCCTCAGAAAAATATGCAGCGGAACCACCAAAAGAACAACTTCAACATGCCCTAAACAAGATGTCAAAACATCTTATAGGACATCATACAGAAGTAGCCACTCCTCTTTTGGCAAAACATTCAACAGGTCACAGAAGCTCCTATATCAGAGGGCACAACAGCAGATACAAAGAATCCTTCAAAGTCATGAGTAAACACAAACTCCCCTTAAACTCCATAAGCAGCAGCTCAAACATTTAGCAAGATCAGCAAATTTGCTACCACTTCTCCTTGTTCAAAACACCAGAAAGTATGTCCCAGGTTTAACCAAGTTAATCTAATCTCCACAATTCAAGGTGCTAAAAAATAGGCCATAGGAGTTTCCTTTCATGATCAGCACTGAATAGAAATTTTCCTAAAATATAGCCTGAGATAAATAAGGAAACATAACAGAAATAAAACAACGCCCATGCTGGCAGATACCGATGTCACAACATTCAGATTGACATCCAATAAACTCTGTATTAGCTAACCAAACATATCTTGCAGAACACTACACACGTATGTCTTGACATCAATCAAGACATCTACACACATAACAATGTTTTACCACAAAATGCAATCAATCAAGAACATCTACAAACTCCCAATCTTTTGCATAATCTTCTTCATAACAGTAGAAACAAATATATTATAGTTTCCTAAAAAGTCTCAAAGATCCTTTTTATGAACACCAATTAAATCTGCACTTTGTTCCAAATAAATCTCTTTAACCTGCACACACTAATGAGGTATATCCAACAGGATTTCATTAAACCAAACCACCTATGTCAAAGATATAAAGTAGCAGCTCCTGCTGTACTAGACAAAGATGTCACGACATCTGTCTCGACATTTTGATAATAACACATGACAACAGTACTGTCAAAACAGTAGATGAAGATGTTATAACATCTTGCTTAACATCAGTGCAGAATCATGTTTTACCAAAATTTAGCCAATCATAGAACCATGGACAATCATGGAACTAACAGAAGGAATTTACGAAGTGTACAACTGAGCATGGAGTATATGTAAGAAGAAGGAATGGTGAATTGCTTACTATGTCTCTATGTTGATGATTTGTTGATAACAGGGAGTTGCAAGAAGGAGATCAAAGATTTCAAACATGACCTGAGTGAGGAGTTTGAAATGGCAGACTTGGAAAATTTCTCATATTCCCTTGGCATCGAATTCTACGAGACAAATAGAGGTTTGATGATGCACCAAAGAAGATATGCATGCGAAATACTCAAGAGATTTGAGATGCAAGATTACAACCAAACTTCGACTCCAGCTTAGCCCAGATTGCAACTGTCGAAGGATTCAGATGAAGATGATGTCGACCCAACCCAATACAGATGACTTATTGGGTCACTTAGATACCTTCGTCACACAAGGTCTGACTTAGCATACTGTGTTGGTATGGTAAGTAGATTCATGCAGAAGCCAAATATATCACACCTAGCAGCGACGAAGAGGATACTGAGGTATCTGGAAGGAACTCTCGACTATGGCATTTTGTTTCCAGCAGCTGATGAAGGAAAAGAATGCAAGTTAGTGGGATACACAAACTCTAGTTGGTGTATTGATGCTGAGGATCGAAAATCCACAACTGGGTATGTGTTTATGTTAGGTGGTGCGCCAGTTGCTTGGAATTCGAGAAAGGAACCAGTAGTGGCATTGTCATCATGCGAAGCAGAATATATACCTGCTTCTCTTTGTGCATGTCAAGCAACTTGGATGGTGAATTTGGTCAAAGAAATCATATGGAAGAATCACGGAGCAATTACCATGAAGATAGACAGCATGTCAGCTATCAACTTGGCGAAGAATCCAATAGCTCATGTTCGAAGCCAGCACATCGAAATGAGGTTCCATTATCTTCGAGAGCAGGTAGCGGAAGGGAAGATGAAGTTGGAACACTGCAGAACTGAGAATCAGATTGTAGATATCATGACGAAGGGAGTGCAGGTCGAAGCCTTCAGAAGACTAAGAGCCATGATAAATGTAGACAGTTTAGACACAATGAATTAGGTGGTGTGTTAAATGTAATTCATAGTGTGTCGAAACAGTTTGTTTTGACATAGATTTGTTTTGATGAGATTTGATATGATTTAGATTAGATTTGATTTTGAACATTTTGGGCCTTTTATGTTTTGGGCTTTTATAAACCTAAAACTATAAATAGGTGTCTTGCTTTGTAATCAAATATAGAACAAATTTCACAGTTCCAGAGTTTAGCAAGTGAAAGTTCAATAGTAATCAGAAATCTCACAGTTTGTAGGTAACACAATTTTCTTCAAATATTTCTTCTCTCATTCTTATCTTTCTTGCTGTTTGTTTGTTATTCTTCTTTTCTTTTGCCGTTCTTGATAACTCTTTACTTGTTATCACCATTACTATCATATTGTGGATTTGTTCATCAATCTTGAGATCAAGATTGAAGGGAATTCTTCATAAGATGTGAGGTGAATTTCCAACACTCTAACTATCAACTATGCTCCTTCTTCCATATTTCAAATGTACTCTGCCGAGGCAGCGCCGCCGACACAATCCACTGCTATGCCCATAGCACCGCTGCCATAAAATCTATGTTATTTGGTCATCTTTATATTAAATCTACTAGTTTCCAATTCTTTTGGCAAAAAAATCCCAAACTTTTGCAAAGTGGACAAATAAAAAATTCTCAAATCTTTTTCCAAAACCTATTTCCAATAGTCCTAGAACAATCTTCAATATAGTGTAAAAACCAAACTGTCTTTAATTTTAAATCTTATAAAAACTTCAAATATTTTCTCAAGAACTTGACTTATTGCTTTTAACCGTCCAACATATATAAACTTGACTCACACCATAATAAGTATTCATTACTTTTACTCTTAAAACTTACTTCTCCTTAAGCTCATTAATTTCGATGTTAGAATGTTAACGCCGATACACTTCACCAAATGATATCTTCTCTACATCACCGATCCCTTTATTCTGCAATAGAATATAAAGTAAATTTATACAATTAAACGAGTAAATTGCATCCAAATATATCAATTGACGTAGAAATTTGAATTTGAATTTTTTTTTTTACATTTCATGCAATTGATGCACGTCTTTGAGAACGTGTAAGACAGACTACTATATACAATTTTAAAATTTTCAGAATTAAATTATAGTTAAATATAATTTTATAAAATATTTTATAAAATTAAGTCGTGATTAAATAAAATCTCTATTTATTTTATCCAAGGATTTATTTATAAATAACCCTCCAAATCTCGAAACTGTGACGCTTCCAACCTTTTATAATTTAATGGCACCCTCGAGCCTAAAACTAAATAACCAAATACTAGTATGCTGTATACTTACACTTGTAGTAGTTGTACAGAATTTAATCCATTATTTAATTTTTTACTTTTCAAAATAAATGTGTGAATGTCAAACATTCCTCTTGCTTTAAACACACATACGTGACATACCGATTCCATTTTCTGTTGAACTTACAAACACATTACCCTTCTTCACTTTCTCAATATTTCAGCTTGTGTGTGAATTCAACAGGTCACCAAAATTGAAATTAATGTAACACTCAATGTCAACCCGATTTTATAAACATAGAATAAAGTCCAACCAAAAAATTTAAATCTATTAAGTAGCTACTTAAAAAAGAAAGAAATCATTTCATAAGAAATAAACATGTGAATGTATAATAGAAAAATGATTTTCTTTTTACTCCCAAGAAATTCTAAAAGATAAAACATACTGTAAGTCATAAAAATAAACACATAATATAGTACTTGTATTTATATTCAAATAACATATATGAAACAAACATAATTTTGTTATATCCATATTAATGTAAAACATTGTAGATTGAATGTATTATGTAATTAAAGTGAGAAAACAAAAACAGTATACAAATTCAAATTGGAATAATTATTCATTATAGATATCAAGCTCCTGCGTCTGCATCACGATCTGTAAAGAAAGAAGCACTGCTACATCTTTTCTCACTAAAAGAAAATGTTGATGATGATGATGATGAGTTACCCTTGGAAGCAGAAACCAAAGGAATTCTCAAACGACGGCACTGAACAACCGGTGTATTAAACCGTCCACTCTTATAAAAGCTTCCAAACTTAGCTCTAATTTTGATATCAAAATCAACAGCCAAATCATTGTAAATCCCAAGACGCGTCTCTTCGCTATACTCATCGAGTTGTTTAAGCCCTAGTTTGATCTTTGTATTTCCATTAAACACAATCGGTCCGAGAAATGTCGTATTTTTGTGTCCTTGATCGAACGGTGTCAAACTCACAAAACCAAAATTATTGTCTTTGTACCAAGCAATCGCGGTGATTCTTCGATAATAGACTATGATGTTGTTGTTTGGGTTTCGCACGGTGACGTTGAGTTTGAAATTGTAATGCAATGTATTATTGTTGTTTGTGAGGTTGAATTCGGAGAGAGTAGCGTCGGTTACGTGGAATTTCACGCTTGAAGGAGAGATAACTATCCAGAAAATAATAGAGAGAAGAATGAAAAAGAAAATGACGGTGTAGATTGTGCAATAGAGGCACATAAAGGTTCTGAACCAACCAGGTTTACAAGCCATATTAACGAGGTTTCAGTTATTTTGTGATGATGGGTTTTGGATCTTGATGAATCTATGGTACAAAATTGTGTGTTTATAGAGTGGAAATTGATGAATTTTGGGGCATGGTGTGTTGCTAAAGATTTTCTATGTGGTTTCGTTGTAATGATACTACAGAGAAAACAAAGTAGCGTATATATTTAATTTTATATTTTTCATTAGGAAACTTCTTTTGAAATAGATCATTGAGCATAGATGCATTGACTTTTGAAGATATTAGGACTCTTCAATGGCTTTACCAACAAGAATATTATGCGGTTGTATATATATGAAATATAAAATATTCACAACACACAAAAATTACATACAAAATATCAGACATGAAGATATTAGAAATTATAGAAATCATTTTATCTTCTTTTCTAGCAGAATATTATAATATATGAGATTTAGCTGCTTATATAAATTAAAGATAAGATTATTTAGTTAATAATGTTTTAAGAAAAAAAAAACAGTTTTGTTATAAGAAATGACACGGTTTCGAACTAAGTAGAATTATATTTCTTTTTATGCGGCTTTCAAATACTTCTGTTTTCATTTTTCAAGTTGCAACTTTGGACGATGTTCCTATTAATTTTCATTATTGTTTTGGAACTTAGCTGCATTTTTTTCTTCTTAAAAACAAATAGAAAAATGCTATTCCTACACCCTTTTCTACACCCAATACTTACACCGTATGCACTATTCACCGTATTTATACGGTGAACAGTGTTTTTTTTATTAAAATAATATATTTTTTTAAAATATTAATTTTTTAAAAAAAAATATTTATTTTTAAAATTTATTTTATAACACAAATATAAGATTGCGCATTAACCAACTTCACAGTTGCATTAACCACAAAAATCTACATTATTAGCCAATTATTTTACCTATAATTTATTAACCACTTTCACTACTTCATTAACCAATAAAATACACACTATTAACCATGTTCTGAGAAATTTGTTCAAGTATTTGTGAACAGTAATTGAGGTGTAGGGTGTAGAAATGAGTGTCAACATAGCAATCCTGAAACAAATATTGGAAAATCGTAAAATTATCATTAATATAATATGTAATATCATTTTACAACCATCAAGAATTTGTAAAAAGTCAAGGCCTTTAAAAGCTGATATGCATGTTATGTGTTCATTTCTTTCCTTCTTTCCTTCTGTCCCTACTAAAAGTTCCCCATTGGGATTATAGATTTCACATGTTTTTTTATAAGCTACAAATATAATAAGTATACTAGGAATACACCAATCCGTTTGTACATGTATTTATATCCCAACCTTTAATTTATATCCCAACCTTTAATAGACAAACATAGACAAGATGAACAAAGGTCTAAGGAACTCCTAAATCAAAAAATCTAGAAGAGACTTGTATCAATTATAGAAGCTACACTTAAGTTTAGAATTAGGCCTAAAATCTAACCAATATCAAGAGGTTTGAATGACTTTCATTGGGATATTCTCGTGTTTTCCAATCATGTCGTTGAATATAATTTGATTTCGCGTCCACCAAATTGACCAAGACGTCGCCATCCATATGATACAATCATATCGTTTATATATTATACAATGAACACTTACATAAGTCGCGATATTTGCGACAGTGCCTCTATGTGTTTCACCCATTGTCAACAATGTCGGGTATGCTCTAACTCAACCAACATTTCAATACTTTTTTAACGAAATTAGGATGTCAAATGCAGATGCAGAAAGCTGGTTAGACAACATTTCACTCGAAAAGTGGATAAGGGCTTTTGATGGTGTATGTCGTTGGGGCCACATGACGACAAACCTTGTGGAATCCATGAACGTGGTATTCAAAGGAAAATGACTAGTAAGGGTATCAACCATTAGATGGGATGAGTGGACTGTGTCTAGTAGCAGACTAGGTTAAGTTTTCCCTTAGTTGAAGTTTGTGTTTGTTATAAGGCCTAAGGAGACGAAAACATGAACACCTAAACACTTTCATTTTAGAGTAGTCTGGATCTTTTCCATACAAAGCATGAAAAGGTGAACTAGAATTTAGTAGAGTGGAAGTGGGAAGCCTATTGATAATGTGTGTAGAGGTACATAAGCTATAGTCCCAGTATGCAATAGGTAAAGAAGCATGAACTAGTAATGTAAGTTACATTTCAAAAGTTTTCCTAAGTTATCTCTCTACTGTCCCATTTTGATAGGAAGTATGTGGGCAAGTTAGCCTATGTGTGATCCCTAACTCTGTCAAATACTTAGTGAAGGTTCTAAATACTCCTCCAAAATCAGATTGAACAGACTTGATGGTAACATTAAATTGTGTTTGAACAAAACTGAAAAAAGTTTGAAAGCATGTAAAGCCTCAGATTTTTGCTTAAGCATGTATAGCCAGGTATACCTAGTATGACCATCTACAAATTCTATGTAGCCAGAGCTAGAAGGATTTGGGGAAGGACCCCATAGATCAGTATATATCATGTTAAAAGGTTTGTGATAGATTGTTATAATTAGAGGAGCATACAATTTATGCGCCTTACCAAAATTACAAGAAGTACAGAATGACTGCCTATTTTTATTGATAGAATAAGTGTTACACAATTTGAGTATAGAAGCAACATAATTAAAATTGGCATGGCCAAGCCTATGATGCCACAATGTGCTAGTACTACAAGTATCTATACTATGGGAATAGAATCAGAAACAACATAGCTTTGAACACCAGTAAAAGGAATAAATTTGTTGATGTGATTGAGAGACCTTTTGAGATTAATAGACAACTAAGGAAAGCAATATAAGCCATTGGCATCTAGGACTCCTTCAACAATAAATTGTCTAGAAGCCCGTGATTTAATATAGCATTTATCAGGTAGGAACTCAAATATAACATTATTATCACTAGAAAACTTTGAAACAGACATTAAGTTTCTAGTTACGGAGGGAACATGCAGGACATTAGCAAGGGTTAACACACAAGAGGGGTTGATTTTATAGTGAAATTGTAAGGATCCTAGAGCTTGTATGGTGAGTGTTTGACCATTTCCTACATAAACTTTATTGGTTCCTACATAAGGCTTTGTTTTTTTCAAAAGAAAGGCATAAAGTGTTAAGTGATGAGATGCACCTGAGTCTGCAAACCAAGCCTAGGATTCTAGCTCAGATGGTAGGTGATATTCTTGAGTGTATGTTAAGGTCTGCTTGTGGTAGCCGTCATTGCAACAGTTTGAGAATTTTACGAGCCTTTAGAACAAGCTTCTTGCTTATGAGATTTGTTGTTGTTGTTGTTGTTGGTCCATCTGAGGCATTGCTTGAAGTCGAAGGCATGAAGTTTTCTTCAAATATGTGCCAGCAAGTGGAAATTCATGTCCGTATTTGCCACACAGTTGACAGGTTGGGCGATTTCCAGGTGTATATCTATCATTCTGGTATAACCATCGAATGATTGGTCTTGAGGCACATGTTTTGGATTAACCTTTCATTCTTTCTTTCATTCTAAAAACACTTAATAAACTTGGACAAAATGGACCATTGGAATCTAGCATTCCGGTGGAACCCTTTGAAAAATTGATTACGAGACACATGTCGTGTTCTTATCAGGCGCTTGTTGGCCATTAAACAATTTTCTTAAATACCTTAAATGAAAAAGAACCGTTAGAATCTAGCATTCCGTTAGAACCTCGAATGATTGATCCCGAGACTTATGTTCCATTCTCATCGAGCTTTCGTCATTCATTTATACAGTTACCTTTTGCATACCGAACTTTTGCGCTTCCAACGTCTTTTGTACAATTACCTTTTGCATGTGCCTCCCCACAAAAACCACACTTAAGTGTTTGAATCTAACTAACATTTTCTTGTGCTATTTGGGATGCGGCTAACTAATGTCTCCATTTGAGATAATAATATTGTATGAGAATCAACTACATGAATACCTTTTAGTTTTCACCAATCGCTCATTTAAGTGATACTCATTCTAACACATTCTCGATTAACTTTTTTAACTCTCACTAGTACAGGAAAGACTTTTTACATCGAGCGAGAAACACATTTTAAATTGGATCTGAGTCCGATGTAAAGCCAAGTGATGTAGTAAATCAAAGACATTTTACATTGGGCAGTAGCCCAATGTGAAAAATATACCTACTACATCAATTGACTATTACGTCTGATGTGAAATATGGGCTTAACTTTTTTTCTTCAATAAATGCACATTTAACATCAGTTTCCTTTTTGGCCCGATGTAAAATGTAGGTTGTTACATCTATTTCCTTTCTGCCCCGATGTAAAATGTAGGTTTTTACATTGGTTGCAAGGCACGTCCAATGTAATACGTATGCTATCTTTCTTTAAAAATTAAACTATTTTTTAGCGGAATCGAAGTGGAATCCCTGTAATTTTCTTTGGTAACTAATTTTTCATATTTTTCCAACATCACACATACCACATTTAAGTCGTTATTTGATATCTAATTTTTCATATTTTTCCAGCCAATCTGTTAATTTCATTGCACCAAATAGCTAGGATACGCATATTCTTCAAGATGAACAATTGATTTACAAAAGTACTAATCTAGGATACACGCAAGTGTACAAAATTATAAGTATGTTTACACGGTGGACTACTACAACAACAAAACCCGTGAAAACATACAAAAATATTCAACCATTTATAAGTCATTTCCCACACTTAAATTACCAACATGGAATCCACAAAAAGATGAATTGTAGTTTCAGTAGACAACACCAAAATCACATTTGCTGACAATAAATAATAACACCAATTAACATCAACAGACAACACCAAAGTCAAAAAACTCAAATCAGATATATATATATATATATATATATATATATATATATATATATATATATATATATATATATATATATATATATATATATATATATATATATATATATATATATATATATATATATATATATATATATATATATATATATATATATATATATATATATATATATATATATATAT